ATGAGTAACCAACGCTGAGTTTGATGTCTGCATTATCTGTGCTATGTCTGGTCTCTGTCTGGTGGTTTTCGTGTATATGTGCTGCATGTTCCCATTTTCTGTCTAAAACATTGCTGGTCAGGCTAGTTCATGAATGACGGGTCTAACATGCTACTTGAATTAATCAGGTAACAGAAAGTGTATCGTTCGGCACTCATAGAAAGATAAAACAGATATTATCTTCTTCTTCTTCTGCGTTCATCCGAAGATGTAATTGCCTTGTGTCCGTTTACAGCATGGCTGTGAGTATTTGTTTTCGACGTGAAACGCATTTTAGCATTTTACATTAATTTATAGGAAAAAATTTGTTGCGCATAACGAGTGTTTCGCTTAACGAGTATGATTCTGGAACGAATTATGCTCGTTAAGCGAGGTTTTATTGTATCATTATAAATTTGAACAGAGACTGTAAATTCACATTAAAAAATATATTTACTAACAACTTACACAATTATTGAATAACTGATATTGTGTGTACTCTTTTCTTTGCAGTAAAAATTCGTGACAGAAATATGGAAACAGGAGACGAACACATAAATACACGTATACATCAGAGGTTTTCATAAATCGGAACTAGTAACGAACTCAGGCCTATATCCGCTAAGCTACACACTAGCTGACCTGTCAGTGATGATTGGTCAGGCTGGTCTACGTTAGAGGGGTGTATAAAGCACTCTCTAGTCGGACCTAGGTTCCTGTGTGCGGTAGGGGGTTGTGGTTTGGGCCAGTTGTATATGTAATGGGGTCGTTGAAACCGCTCACATCCTGTAACATAGAGCACGTGTGGTCGCCGGTAAGATATTCGAGACAATACAACGTTACGCCAACCTAACATCCATGCCACTTGAACTTGTGCGTCTCAACTCATGAATGAACGTCTAGTCACAGTTTCCAGGCCCGACTTCGTCATTCATAAATGTCTAGCTGGGCGGAGCTGGGTTGAGTTCCTTACATGTTCCCATAAATCTTCTGAGATAATTCGCTGGCCTTCTCGTGACCTAGTTGTGCCTTGCCTGTCACTACAACTTCCCCAAAGTAGTCAGCTCTTTAAAATGCTAGTTAGGGAGGCAGTGTCTCTATTCCCCCCCCCCCCTCTCCCCCCATGGAACCCCGGAACCCATACGGGCAGCAGATAACTGAGATACAGTTTGGTAGCTGTAAAATATCTCTGACAATTTTTCTAGGGTCAGGGGCTCAATGGGTATAGGCCTCGTTTAAGTGCGCAATAATAATAATAACAATAATAAGTAAAAGTAAAGTAAAAAACCGTTTTCCACGCATTTCATGCTTATTGGTATAAGGCTAGACATATTTTATAGACCAAACGGCACTTGGTGGATGATGCGGTCTACATCACGCCGACCGCCTTTACTTCCCATGATTTTACCTGGTACCCACTCAAGGCTGGGTCGACCTAGGAGCCAAAGTTACTTTTAAAAAAAGTCTGGTCTGCGTCAAGAATCGAACCCGCGACCCTCTGATCTGCAGGCGAATGTCTAGCCGCTACACCACAGCGGCTTCCTTATTAAAATGTGATAAATGAACAAAACAAAATATTTGAAATCGTAGGAAATGTACGAACAAATACTTCAAAAGAGATATCTATACATAGTTGGGAGCAACCACTTAGCTTTTTGAATATTTGCTGGAGAAAGGGGAGGGGCGGAGGGGAGGGCCTTAATGCACATGACCTTGTATAGCCACTATACTTGTGTGACCTCGGACAAACAATTCCGTGGGGTCAAGCAATATTACGGCACCATTAGGAACATAGGTCTCATGATGTGACATGAGTTAAAGGGACTGCAGAGTTGACAAGTTTAGTTAACAATAGTAAGCATTCATATTTACGTGTCCGTGTGTCATGCTCCAGTACCAGGACTCGTCCAGGGCAGCTGTCAACAACTTGTGACAGCTCATTAATATTTCAAAACCTCCATGGCGCTTACAAAAAGTGCTTTCTGCACTAGCAAGAGTCACTGACTTCTGGCCCCCCTGTCACCCCCCCCCCCTCGTCACCCCCCTCCGCCAACAACATCAGATTTTAATTGATCTGTTTAAAGTGCTGAAGCGCCTGGCTTTCTCGGCTTGGTCAAGGTTGACTGTTTAGAATAATAAATATGGGTTCTTATTATGATTCCCGGTCCAAAAATATCGTTATATGGTTTTCATTCATGCTTTGTCGCCTCTGACACGGGTTGGTCTATATTACAGGGGTATCCCGTCGTCTTGTCTCCGATGCTATCAACGGCGATGTCGCGAGTTCTATACTACGTGAAGACACCGCTTTTAACGACCCCAGAACATATGGAACTAGCCCAAACCCCAATCTCCCTACCCCACAGCCCCAGCCTAAGTCCCACGAGAGAGTTTGGTTTTAGAATTTTTAATATTTTCCTCTGCGCCCTAAAAATCCGTCTTGCTGCAAAAAAGCAACGCTCTTTTCCTTGTCGTAGGTCAACGCTGACACCTGACCTAAATTCATGTCGTACCAGAAATCCTTAATAATATACGCAATGTCGTCGCACGCTCCCAGCAAGGGGTAAAACACACTGGGTAGCTCACCACCTGTATTGCGCACAATATACAAAGCTCTTCGCGAACACAAGACAACGTGACCCCCCCCCCTCCCCCCTCCCCAACATAGACTAGCCACAGGTGAGAAAGCATGAAGGAAAGCACAATATGCTATGTTTTGACCGGACATTGAATTAAGTTTCTAAATAATTAATGAAATAAATAAAATATGTCGGGAACCTTTTTCGGGCTGCGTCTACAGAGCTGGGACAACAGAACACCGACTTAACAGTGAAAACAAACCCGAGGTCTACATGGAGCAAATCAAGAAAATTAAACAAACAGTGGATGAAGTCGTCGACGAGGTCGACATTGACTTTTAATGGCCGAAGAACATACTGGTATGGCATACAAAGTAAAACAAAGCTGTCAATCCTACACTAAACTTACTGTCGCTATCCATCCATATCTCCATTTTCCCTCCCCTTTCAATACCGATGTCCAAACGAACACCAGTGCACGCAGTTATGCGTCTTTCAAAACAGCGCTACACAAACAGTCGTAGAACTAGGTATAACAGCAGATTCGGTCCAATTTCCCATGGTTAGGGGTGGGAATGCTTTTCAAGTTTATAGCGACCCAGTGGTAAATTATTTGACTAGCCCAATTCTGTTTTGACGATAGGACGAAGGAATTGCCGTTATTATCAAAGGGTTAAAGTAGTGGACACGCAGGCTTGTGTAATTTGGCCTTTCGCTGGAGTTATTTTGTATACATCCTTTCGTTAAGTAGAAAGTAGAGTGTTTAATAACAACGAGAGGAGTGACTTCATTATTGTGGAATAGTCCATATTTCAATACAGACAATTTACATAGAGGTGTACGAAATGTTGACGGAACTACGAGCAGAGGGCTGTTCTGCTGGTTAGTGATAAGCACTAGCCATGATACCCTAAGGCTTTAACACCCCCTTCCCCCCCACCCCCCCCCCCCCCCCCCCCTGCCTACACCACAAGAAAGATAAATACAGACAGTGACTGGCAGTTTATCTCCTTTCATGATATTGTTGAAGTTCGTTTGTTTTTCCTAATCCTCCAAGATCGGCTTTGATCTTATGCTTACATTATTTACTCTGTTACCATGTGTCTGCGTCGTACAATATCCTTTTTTTATTTTTTTATTTATACGTATAAAACCCCGAATTCTGAATTGTTGGGACTAATAAAAGTTGCATGTTGTAATCTAACTTTAAAGGAAGAATTTCCACTATGAACCTTAGAGATTATCCGAGGCTTTGACGTATACGTCTTTATTGTTTTATTGTTTGCACCATATAACTAACGACCCAAAGATTTGGCGTGTTTGACTTTGCTTTCCTTGATCTACAAAAAAAAAAAAAAAATCCATACGCACGTCTCTATTGATACATTACATTCGTTTGAAATACCGAATAAAAACATGAGGTGGACGGTGCGTGGAATAGGAGATGAAGGTGGCGGGGGTGGGTTTAGAACTATTCAAGATAGTATATTATCCACACACACACACACACACACAAAACACCCGCTGTATTCAACACTTGCAAATTAAACAGTGCTGCCGAATAGAAAGAATAAATAAGAGTTGCCAAAGTAATAAAAACATTTAATGACTACAGAAGGGATGATAGCTGAGCGTCTAAGAAATAAGACAGAAAATACAAATGATAGCAACAATGGGCCTGTTATCCCACGCTATATTGCGGGTGGGTCTTGCTACTCACACTCGCCATCGCCATCGGCTGTGAGTTCCATGCCGCCATGGGCTGTGAGTTCCATGCATGCTCCTCATAGCACAATGTAACACTGCCGTCTTGAAAGATGGAAAGGTACCAATAGTAACAGCAGGACGTGTGAACACAGCAAGAGAAAAATGCAGCGCAGAACATATTTTAGAAAAAAGGAATCCAGGTGCACAGAAGCTAGAAAATGAATTTAAGTTGTTCTAGTGGAAAAGAGTTTCTTATCCCTTTGAAAAGTCCATCGTGTACGAATTGTCTGCCAGTGTCCCTCTGCCAACTGCTAATAAAAGTCCAACATGTGTCCGGTAAACCAAAGTAAGCTTGTCGCTCGGTCGTCCAGGCATGCGGACTGTTTTAATTACGCTGTCGCGGCGACTTCTTATCTCACAGTACCTCCTTCGAAACCACTAAGTCGTCTTGTCTCTGGCCGAAATAATAACACCATCCGGTAATTCTGTGCAGCGGGGAAGCAGCCCTGAGCTTCATGAACTCAGGTGGGCCCACCTCCGAATACGTTTAGGAATCGTGGGCCGAAACGTGTGTCGAAAGAGGATAATTTCTACTGATGACTGTAGATCCCCGCTGTACTTGCTCCCTGTGAGTTTATTCTTATTGTTCTATAATGTCCATACACTTTGTTAACGTGTGTTGTGGGTGCGTGTGTTATGTTAACGTGTGTTGTGGGTGCGTGTGTTATGTTAACGTGTGTTGTGGGTGCGTGTGTTATATTAACGTGTGTTGTGGGTGCGTGTGTTATGTTAACGTGTGTTGTGGGTGCGTGTGTTATGTTAACGTGTGTTGTGGCTGCGTGTGTTATGTTAACGTGTGTTGTGGGTGCGTGTGTTATGTTAACGTGTGTTGTGGGTGCGTGTGTTATGTTAATGTGTGTTGTGTTAAAATGCGTTATGTTAACGTGTGTTGTGTTAACGTGTGTTGTGTATAATTCATGGACGTGATGTTTATAAATCATGGACACAGAATAGAACCAGTCAGACAGTTGAAGCTACACACACACACACACACACACACACACACACACACACACACACATATATATATATATATATATATATATATATATATATATATATATATATATATATTATATATATATATATATATATAACCCCTTTGCAATAAAAGGTAAAAAGATAAAAGTCGGTAGATGTGAACTATCGTCATTGCACACGGTTATAAACCATAAGTGCTGCCACCAGTACGGACAGCTGTTAAGAATTGTCCGCCTGTGTCGCCGTTCGCACATAACTCTGTAGATACAGCGATGTTCCTCCATTTACCCCAGAGTGTCAACTCTGGTATCCATTTCCTAGAGGCTGGGTGAACCCCGGGAGCCGCCCGGTTTCGAACACCGGCCGTGGACTGCAGCGAGTCGCAGCTGGATTTGAAAGCGAGCCTCTTGTCGACTGCGCTAACGCGGCTCCCTTTGCAATAAGAGCAATTCTAGTCATTTGTTTTGAAAAGTTATGAAAAGCCGTCCCTTGACACCCATGACTATTCTGAGTGTTAATAAGGGCGGCCGGCTTAAGACCCTGTAATGCCCAAGGCACTGAAACTATTTCACCCCCCCCCCACCCACCCACCGTGCCCCTGAGGCGTCTCCACATAACTATGGGCCCCTGGACAAACCAACGTATTCGGGTCCCTAGTTCAACCAGACACAGAAATGAAATGTCAATGGTCACTTGATATACACAGATTAACATGCGGCCCCTGTTCTCGAGAGGTTCCCGTGAAAGTCCCAGCTGGGGCCTGAATTTAAACAGCAAAGGTGCGCCCCCCCCCCCCACACTCACACACACACACAAACACACAAACGCAAGAAACCACAATAAATCATAAAAAATAATATTACACTTATCGAAATCAAACAAAACTTACATTAAGCAGAAAAGTTGTTTTTTTCCCCACACGTTATTTGTATTTTTTTTTTCAAAGTTTCTTCTACAAAGTCTCTGATCCGTTCATCAAACTAATCTCACGTGACGCGTCTGCTTCGATACTTAACAGAGATAAGAAATCCAGTCTGCCATGTTGCAAAGTTGTTCTGGTGCGATTTTTTAATATGCTTTAACCGCGAAAACAAACGCTGAGCTCCAAGACTGTTGAAACATTATGTGATGCCCCAACCCTTTGTGATGCCCTAAGCAAGTACTTTAATCCGGCCCTGGTCTTACTGTCAGTGCTGGATAGTCACACATACAGCAGTAGCTGGAGCGTCAGTCAAAGGTGCACAGTAACGCATGGCGCAGTAGTTGGCGCATCAGTCAGAGGTGTACAGTTACCCGTAGCGCTGTAGGTAGCGCATCAGTCTCATAATCATAATCTCTCTCACAATATAAGGCAGCATGACAAATAAAAATCATTTTAAAAATCCTAAAACAGTTGGCCTTGGAGGGATAAGCACCTCTGAGTCGTTCTGCATGACACGTGGGATAACACTGTATTACTCATCTCACACTAGGATAATGTGAATGCAGTATATTATTGTTTAGATCAGTAGGTCACACCCCTCCCGCCACACCTGATTACTAATACAATATAAGTGTGACTTCATGGTTTAGCAAAATATACCTATGTACTTAACCCGCATTACTCGACGTGCAACATCTGTTCCAGTTAGCCTATGATACATGCATGCGTAACCGGCCCACAGCCAGCAAAAAAATTATAAGTAAATAGAAGTAAAGATCCATTTTCACGTCTTTAGGCGCATCTGGTATATGGAAAGAGCACCCACATTTTTACAAATAAATCGACACTAGATGGGTAATGTGAGCATTACGCCGGCCGCCTTTACTTCTCCAGGACATACATCCTGGTGTCCATTTTAGGCTGGGTCGACCTGCGACGCCCCATATCATGATAAAGATCCATGCAGCCAGCAGTGAGTTTCGATCGCAGTACGTTGGAATTTGAGTCGAACTAGCAACTCCCTAAGCCACGGAAGTCGCAATGATGATGAAGACTAAAGCTAAACATATGTCTCCAGATATATTTCTACTAGTGAGCCTCTTGCGACACACATTAATGCGTTTTCATATTCAGCCTAAGTACATATTTGCTTATTTTGGCAGTTCTGACGTCAAGACTGCAAATAGCACATAATACTGCATATTACCAAGAATGGAATGTTCAGCTAATTCTGTCCTAGACAGTGTTCGATAAACCATCTACGTCAAGAGATAAGTCTGTCTGCCAAAGACTACAGCGAAATTTCCTAACCACTAAATTGATGTCTTTGTAGTTCACTGTTTTTTTCGAGTCCATGGGTAGGATGTTGACTAGTTAGATTTCCACTGCTGTTAGTAAAGTAATTAACTATTTCAGTCCCACATGATTTCACAACATAAACCCAGTCTGGCAACAACAACAACAACAACAACAAAACAGCATCAAAGTCACATTCAAAGACATACTGTATGATGCATGGTAAAATATTTGGCCATATTTCTTTAGCACACACAGGCCAAACATTAAAGATATGACAGTGCTACGCAAGGCATGGCTAAGATCGTTGGTTGGGACAGGAAAAGTAAAACGATCCTTTTCACGTACATTGGCCCATCGGCATATGGTGCCAGACTGACTCACATTTTCATAGACGAATTGCCACTCGACTGGTAATGTGGTTAACATCACGCCGGTCTCCTTTACTTCCCATAATTTTTCCAGGTACCTATTTCCAACCCAGGTAGATCTGAGAGCCGATGTCATTATATAAATTTTTAACCTGATGCGGATTTAAACCACATACCTTTGGGCCAGCGGGCTAGACTCACTGCGCTAACGAGCGCTTTTTGTGTGTCTCTTTTGTATGGATTTATTGTTTTCACCGCCCCGTTGAGCAAACTATTGTTAGTCACCTAGCTTTGCTGCGTGATCATAATATCTTAATGAAAACGGGACATCCCACTAGTAATTTACTTGAAAACGAGACAACCGTCTAATATTTTGAGTTGAAAACGGGACATCCGTCTAATATTTTGAGCCAATAACGGGACATCCCTCCAATATTTTGTGCAGAAAACGTGGTATTCTACTAATATTTTTAGTTTAAAACAAGATATCCCACTTATATTTTTAGTTCAAAACAGGGCATCCATGATAATGATGATGACAATGCTGATGATGATGACAAGGATGATGACAATAATAATGATAATCTTCTTCTTCTTCGCGTTCACCGGCAGTAAACTCCGGTGGAAAGTTCTGGTTGTTCGTCCACTTCAGGACTGCGTGCCCTTATTACAGAACCTGAGTGTTGCGTGTGCATCTGTCGTGAAATGATAGCCATTACGCATCGGTCTGTAAGGCTGATAACCTGTCTTACCTGTAATCTGCACAAAATTCAAACTTGGACTCGCCCAGAAATATATAGTCCCTTATATCTATATATATAGGCCTGTATTGGACAACATTATTATGTCTGCCTTTTCTGGTTACTTTAACTAAACTCCACTTTTAAATGTATATCTCTTGGAGATATATTCAGGGAGTTATTTGAGGTTTCTTGAAAACCGATTTACTCCTTGCCCAAGTATACAAGGGACTTCTTTTGTACCAACGCCTGAAGTGTCTAAGTCAGTGTTGCCACTTTGGATCTTTTATATCCAAATTTAGATCTTTTTCATTGCATTTAGATACTGTTTTTGACGTTTAGATCGTAAGTATTTTTCTAGATTATTTTCAAATGTAGTTGGATATTTTATAGATTTTTTTTTCTTTTATTGTCAATTTAATAATTACTGTGCAAAATACTTATTACAATATTTTTGCTTTGGTCTGGCACGTACATTGTGACAACTGCCATTACTTGAACTTTGAACTCTAACTACGGTCAACGCACAAATATCTGACAGCCCCAGTACTGATTATTAAAAACGCGCGTAAATCATACTAACTTTGTTTCAACCGTATTCTCTCTGTGCTGACTTTGCATTTCTTTTTCATGTGATTAAAAAAAATAATTGCTCACCTTCTTATGTGGCTTTCACTTTGAAAAAACCTTTCGACATGCCAAAAGTAAAGTATGAGCAAAAAATTTGGAAAGAGTGGTTGCATGATGACAAAATTAAAAACTGGGGATATAAACAAAGATTGTTGTAAGTACTCGAAGTGTGAAATTAAAGCGAAAATACAACACTCAAAGAGTCATGCAGAGACTAAAAAAGCATAAAACTGCAGTTTCATTTAAAGATATTACACCGCTGACATCTGTTTTCATAACTATACTGATAAATGAATCATCAAAAGTTGAAGTATCAGTCGCAATGTTTTTAATTTGTCACTGCGTAATTTCAAACTTTGACCATTTGATCCATTTGTAAAAAATCTTGGACTAGTTTAATTTGAAAAGTGTGATGTAGAAAGTATAGTTTAGGAACTGAAGGACCTTTTAATCAGCAAACAGTTAGGCTTGAAGAATTTGGCTGTAATTGGTACTGATAATGCCTCAGTGATGTTTGGTATAAACAATGGCGTTTATGCCAAGTTGAAGGAAGCTAACCCATCGTTAATACTTATAAAATGTATGCGTCAGTCATTGCAGCTAGCATTATCACATGCTTCATCTAAATATTTACCAAGGAATTTGGAATACCTTATTGCTGAAACACTTTACTGGTTTTCCAAATAATTTGTCAGACAACAGCAATACAATACATTATAAAGAGCCTTGAATTATGGTTCCACACCACCGAAAATTCTGTCAGATTGCAAAACTAGATGGTTATCAATTGAATTAGCTGTTGAAAGAATTATGAAGCAATGGCTGAAGTTGAAGACACACTTTGAAATAACAAGACAAAGTGAAAAGTGCTACACAGCTGAAATACTATATGGAATGTACAGTAATGAAAAAAATGTGTCATTTATTCTCTTTTTATAACCTATTCTAATGGAAGTGCAAAAAGTTAATAAACTGTTCGAATCTAAACTTGTTGATTAAGTTAAATTACTTGATGATCTCATCTTGCTATTTCACTCGGTAAAAGACTGGTGTTGCCAACTTCTAAAGCTGATTTGCTCACTTGCACTATAGAGAGCTATTTGGCTCCTAAGCCACACCTTGGATATTAAATCGAATCAAAAATTGATGATTTAAAAACAAAAGGACTGTTAACAGAGAATGAAGAGAACAACTTAAGAAAACACTGTCACGATTTCCTTATCTCATTATTGAAGCAATTGAAACAGAGACTTCCTGAAAATCTAGATGTTTTGAAAAATATTTCACTTTTTTCTGTGATTAACATACTTCAGCCAATAAAGGACGTACCTAAATATTGTAAAGTTATGAAATTTTTGGGGGCTACTGATAATAGTGTCGCGGAAGCAGAATATCAGTTAACCAAAATAAAGTTAGCTGAATGGACAAACAAAACAGAAACTAAAGCGTTTTGGAGTGAAGTGAGACAATTTAAAGATGCCTCATCAAACAGTCCATTCTGTAAGCTCTTTAAAGTGCCATGTCTGCCATGATACTACCCCACTCAAATGCTGACGTAGAAATAGTTTTCATTGCTAGGAATTATATCAAATCTAACCTAAAAAACAGGATGAAATTTGACCTCTTAAATGCTATCGTGCAAATTAAAATTCGGCCTGATGAGACTAGAGAAATAAGCCTACTGTTCCACACAAAGAAATTTGAACAGCTAAAGCATACCAGGGTCATTTTGGATCTGAAGCTTCAACTTCTTTATCCAAGCTAAGTTTATCCTGTGGATCTTGTGAGGCAGACATCAGTGAAGGTGAGGACATGATTATGTAGGGTAAGTCATAACAAAAGCTATGTAATTTTTGACTTTTTCAATTTGGATACTTTTTCTAGATCTTTTTCACGCAGATTTAGATCTTTTTAGATATTTTTTGACACCGTTTTGGATATTTTTTGTCAAAGAAAAGTGGCAACACTGGTCTAAGTGACGCTATTCTCCTTGCCAGCTTCTCAAGCGTCCAGATGTGTTAATCTGTGCCTGTATAAATTTCACTTTTCAAGGCAATCTGGAATGTCTCAGTTTTTACATATGCTTGGGTAAGTTAATTATAGTTTACGAGTACCTAGAATGATGTATGTAAAGTAGTCACTGCTGTAGAGAAATCAGTATCGGCTGTGTGATCTCACTTAGTTCGACCGTTCTTGATCGCTAGAGAAGCGGATTCGAACGTAGATCTTCCACTGTACAGACTAAATAGATTATGCCCTCAATAAACCACCCATACTGATAAAACTTAATACCCTTACAATTGTGTACGTTTTAAACTAACTAAAGAATCTGTACATACGAAATGGGG